AGGAGCGACCCCGGGTTGCTGGGCGCCTCCCGAGTCCCGGGGCTCCGGCTTGGCTTTGCCCCCCCGGCCGCTCAGCCCTGGGCTCTTCGCACGTCGTGCCCTGGCATTCAGACTCGGGGGGCTGTCTCCCGGGAGCCCGTCGCCTCCCTCCCCTGCAGCCCCGGGAGGCCAGTCCTGTGTCCCACCCTTGAACTCGCCCCGTCGGTGCCCTCCAAGCGCGGCTCTCCCTAGGGCTCGACTGTCCCCTGCGGGGCCGGGCTTCCCGCATGAGCCCAGACCGACTGTGGCCTTGCGGGCCCTGGGGGCACCGTCACCCCGCCGCTTCCCGGGCCAGGCCTTCCCACCCCACGTCCAGCTGCAGGTCTGGGACGCTGGTCCCGGTGTCCGGCGTCCGGCCTCTCTGGCCCGCGGGGCGGCCGGAACAGCCCTTCACAGAGCAAGTCCCACCTCCCCTGCAGGGTCCCCCCCCCAGGACCTCTGCTCACGGCACCCTCCTCGCCCCCGGCAGCCGGCCGCCCCGTCCCGGTCTCACCTCAGCCCCTCCTCAGAGGCCTGGGCTGCTCTGTCTCATCTGAGCCCCGCGCCCCTCAGGTGCACTGACCGCCGTGCCCAGCGTGGGCACGGCTTGCTGTGGTCCTTGTGGAAAGCCGGACCAGAGCTCCTGTGGGAAGGGATCTGGTCCCTCAGTTTTTTCCGGAAGCCCCTGACTGGCCAATCCCAGTGGCACACCCGTGGTCCCAGGAGGCCGAGGCGGGAGGTCGCTTGAGGCCCGGAGTTGGAGACCAGCCTGGGCAACATGGACCTGGCCTCCAACAGTCCGTAAACAGAGGGCCGTGAGTGACGAAGTGGTGGCACGGCTGCTTTCCACCCGCTCCACAAGCCACCGGCGCTGTGGGGTGCCTCTGCCACCTGCCGGCCCACAGGGGCCGAGTTGGGCCCTTGGGTTTTCACCCACCCCGTCCTCGAGGACGGTGGGGACTGTCGCCAGGAGCAGCCCCTCAGCCCAGGGCGCCCTCGCGCCTCCCCAGCCCTTCCAGGCGAGGGGCTCGTGCTGTCCTGCAAGACACTGGGCGCGTGTGGCCGTGTCATGCGCGACAGGGAACCACAAGTCAAGAGTCTGCGTCTGAACCACACAGGCCACATTCCAGGGCTTGGGGCCGTCCAGGTCCGAGGTCCTCGTCCAGCTGGTGCCCCTGCCAAGGGACCCTGGGTCGTGTCTGTGAACATGTGTGGGCGTCACACCCAGGAGGCTTCTGGCCTGGAGCGGGTGGAGGCCGGGAACACGGCTCACACCCTGACGAGCCCAGGACGACGCAGCCCGATGTCCGCAGTGCCCAGAGAGGGACCCAGGCTCGAGGGAGCGTGGACACTGACCCCCGGCAGCCCAGGCTGCCAGGCTGGCATCATTTCCATCCTGGCGGGGCGGAGCATCCCAGCCCTCCCA